ATTTGGACAAGCCAGCTTCATTTTGGAATAAGGTGCTGTGGACTGATGAAACTAAAATTGAGTTATTTGGACATAACAAGGGGCAGTATGCATGGCGGAAGAAGAACACAGCATTCCAAGACAAACACTTGCTAACCACTGTTAAATTTGGTGGTGGTTCCATCATGCTGTGGGGCTGTGTGGCCAGTGCAGGTACTGGCAATCTTGTTAAAGTTGAAGGTCGCATGAATTCCAGTCAGTATCAGCAAATTCTTGCGAACAATGTTCAAGAATCAGTGACAAAGTTGAAGTTGCGCTGGGGCTGGATACTTCAACAAGACAACGACCCTAAACACCGCTCAAATTCTACCAAAGCATTCATGCAGAGGAAGAAGTACAACGTTCTGGAATGGCCATCCCAGTCCCATGCTCAGAAACCATCAAACCTGACTGAACTGGAGATGTTTTGTAAAGAAGAATGGTCAAAAATACCTTCAACCACAATCCAGACCCTCATTGGAAGCATTTAGAGGCTGTTATTTCTGCAAAAGGAGGATCTACTAAATATTGATGTAATTTTTCTGTTGGGGTGCCCAAATTTATGCACCTGCCTACTTTTGTTTAAGTAATTATTGCACACTTTCTGTAAATCCTATAAACTTCATTTCACTTCTTAAATATCACTGTGTTTGTTTGCTATATGATATATGTAATTGAAATTGCTGTTCCGAACAACCAATGATCCATAAAGGAAAATCTTGAAAATGATCAGGGGTGCCCAAACCTTTTCATACCACTGTATGTGAGTTTGATCAGTAATCCAACATATAATGTATATAGAAAGTATGTTCAGTTTATACGAGGAAAAATTGTTCTAGTTCTGAAAAGGTTATATGATTTACAGTGCCAAGAATGAGAAGTGATGGGGCAGTAAAGTCTTTTACTACCTTACTAAAACAATTATTTGTCATAATCATAAGAGCATCCATTGTGTCTTCACTAACATACATTTCTAATGATGTAACCTTGTCTGTTACAACAACTGTCAACACTACATTCTTAGTCACAGGTTGGGGTGTGGTCACTGCTGAGATAGCTGATGTCACCAATTGCCCTCTGTGAATTTTATCTGGGTAAAGAACACTCAATGGACCCAAGAAGGGATGTCATGAGAGCGTAAAAAAGGCCAACAGAATAATACAAGAACCAACAACAAGAAATTATGTTACTATAGATGCACCAATCAACCAGCAAGTATCAGTGATATGAACACTGTCTTTTAACCCTCCGTTACATCAAGTACAGTTTGTGTTTCCCCAAAATTAAAAAGGTAGGAAGGGAAGGAAATCTGCCTTTACATGACCTACAGCAATTACTACCAGTGATGACACTAATCAAGTATTCAGGTTGCACAGCTAGAGTTTCACACATTTTTATAACCCTGGTGTGACACTTCTAGCTTATTCTAGATTTCTCTTAGAGTAGAGAATTTGAGTGTATTTTGAAACCAAATCTCTGATTTACGGATACCAGTTCTTCAACATACCAAAGTCACTTAATAAAGGACCCAAACCTAAACTTCAGGTTTTGGAGAATAAGCTTAAGAAGACACCCGTGCCCAATTTTGGTTATCAGTTGTAGTGGTTCCTAAAGAAGGAGGCAGTGCAATTGATTCTTTAGGAGTCAGATCTTTAGATCTGGTTTACATATTTATATCTACAACGTCTTTTGGAGATATTGTAATTCTGTGGCCAACCTGCAGAGTGCAAACTACAGCCAGTTTAGACCTGGAGGCTGTAAGACCACCACTTTATCAGTTTGACCTCTGCTGTGAGCCTGAAGGTTTTCTTAGTGTTGTCTTTTTTAGTCTCAGCATCATCATTAACCATTCAAACTGTACCACTCAGCTACAGGGACTGATTACAGCTTGCCTTGCAGGGTCTCTGTGTGTGTCTCCAAGGAGATTAATTAAACACATTACTTCAATACACATCAAAATCTTGACAGTAGGGTAGTTCAGGTGTGTTGAAGGGTTGTTTTTTGCCCAACTCACACACTCACACTGGAACTGTTTTTAACATTATCTGCACTCTCATCTAAGTGGGATCACATTTAGCCAATTTGGCATCAACTTGTATTAAAAGAGAGACATGAAAATTACTGTGAACCTGCTGTATGCAGGAAACATTTAATGTTACATTTATTCAAGGAACAAGTTGTATCTAGCAGGGATGCCTTGATCCTATACTCAGGATCAGTATTGGTCCGATACTGGTCAATATTTTAGGATTTAAGATCAATAAAAACAACTGTAGCCCATCTGATCTGATACCTAAGAGCAAATGCTCAACTTAACTTTGCGCGTCATGCCATAAAATGGGAAACTATCACCTCAGCAACTAAAGCCCAGGGCAGCTGGAGGATAAAATAAAGTCAGGTTTTATATCGGTATAGGCAGATATTCCAAGTTGCACTATCAGTATCAGACATGAAAAAGCTGTATTGAGGTATTCCTAATAGCCAGCAAACTCACAAAAACCTAGGTTGACTATTGTACACAGGTGTGTTATGGTAAATGTAGATAGTTTAAGAAAATTAGCTTCAAATGTCTGATAATTTCCCACCCTGGTTAAAAAATGTTTTCACTTGTGTTATTTATGTGAGTCATACAACTATAGATGGTGAAAATGGCTTCACAGCTTCTCACACTTCATGTTATAGCAGCAGAAAGTTTCATAGTTTATTTTTCATTATTTATTTAGTACCATGGTAAAAATGTCTGTGTGATAACAGTGATTATATAACTATTTTCTGTGGGAGTGTACTTCACTACAACAATAATTACCGAGGTGTCAGTGACGTCTGTGCCTGTTTGTGTTTTTCCACTTTGTTTGTTCTCCTTCTCTGTTAACACATGCTGGAGGGACCTGTTTCACTAGTTCCCACATTTTCCACTACTGTACTGTAAAGCCTTGTTACTGGACTTCCTGCTTCGGTCATCACTGATCTGCTTCAGCAGGGCTCAGAGGTTCTGAACGCTTTTCAGGTTTAACAAGTTCAAGATTTGATTTACATCTCTACTGTGGGATACAGAGCTGTAATATCCCTCTGTGACACACCTTCTCTCCATTTCCTACTGTGTGTAAGAGACAAAGTGACAAAACTTGAGTGTGTTGACGCAGTGGTTGCCAAGCAGCGAGCTGCTACTGGGTGAGAAGCATGCCCCTCAGTGCCCGCCACAAAGCCCCCGAACACCCAGAGGGGAACCTCAGGTAATGGGTCAAACCCCCACCGGGGCTTAAATAACCTCCCATAACGGCTGCGCCGAACTTCGTCGCCAACAGCTGGCTGTAGAACCACCTCTGCGGCCGGACCTGTAAAAGAACTCCCGGCCTGTGAGGGCACAGGTCGAAACCTGGAAGGGGGGTGACCCCGACGGGGAACCTGGGCCGGAAAAACCGCCTTGCCAGCGACCATGTGCGCCGGTTTCAGTCTGTCCAACGTCACCCACTCCTTACGCCCCCCCCCCACATCGAGCACGGAAATTTTATCTCCCGCCTCCAACACCCTGAACGGGCCATCGTATAGGGGCTTAAGGGGCGAACGGTGAGCGCCATGACACATGACACAAAACGAGTGCCAGCGAGGTTCACCGGCACAAATGAACGCGGAAAACAGTGATGCACAGGCAACGGCATAAAACCCGACTCAGGAGAGAAATGACGCGCTGCGGGAAACAAGCCTGGGGCAGCACTCTCCGGCAAGAACTCACCCGGAACGCGGAGTGGCAGGCCTAGGACCAACTCAGCAGGGGAAGCATCTAGATCCTCCTTAGGAGCCGAACGTAGCCCTAACATCACCCAAGGCTGCCTATCCACCCAGTTACCATCCACGAGCGCGGCGTGCAGGGCTGCCTTGAGTGAACGATGAAACCGCTCACACAAGCCGTTAGCCTGGGGATGATACACGGTAGTACGGTGAACCTGCATGCTCAGAGACCCAGCTAGCTCTGTCCACAGCTCAGAAATAAACTGGGGTCCCCTGTCAGAGGTGATGTTCGATGGGGTTCGGAAACACGCGATGGGGTTCGGAAACGCGTATATGGTGTGCGGAAACGCACACCATATACGCGCGAGTCATGTCTGCGGCTGACGTGGACGACAGAGGAATGGCCAGTCAGCAGGTGCGAAGGGGGCAAGGGGCCCACCAAGTCCATGTGCACGTGATCGAACCGCCTAGCAGGAATCGCAAATGCTTGGAGTGGTGCTTTAGTGTGCTGGTGAACTTTAGCGCGCTGAGACGCCACACATGCAGCCGCCCACTCTTTGACCTCCTTTTGCAGGCCAGGCCATACAAATTTGGAGCTGACGAGTTTCACAGACGCTTTAACTCCCGTGTGCGAGAGGGAGTGCACTGAATTGAACACTCAACGGCGCCACGCCACAGGCACCACAGGGCGGGGGCAACCTGTAGAGACGTCACAAACGATTGTTGGGCCACCATCGCACAGAGCCGTGTCCTCGAGCTGCAGGGCCGTATCTGCGGTTGTAAGGGCCCGGATATCTGGATCGCCTGGCTGGTCTGCAACCATGGACGAAAAATCTATCCTGAGGAACACGAGACAGCTCTCCACGCGTGACAAAAAATCAGTGACGGAGTTAGCTTTCCCGGCTACGTGCTGAATGACAGTGGTAAACTCCAAGACTGCCGCTAAGTGTCGCTGCTGACGAGCAGACCACGGCTCGGTTACTTTTGACATCACGAACGTCAACGGTTTATGGTCGACATGCGCGGTAAAAGACGGGCCCTCGAGCAGGAAACGAAAATGTTGTGCAATGCGTGCTGCTAAGTATAACGCCAGCAACTCCCGGTCGTAGCTTAGGGCTGAAGAGTCGATCAGGTCGCTGGCCTTTTTCTGTCTCAGGGCCCCGTACAGCGGCTGCAGGAGCTGGGCTGCGTGAGATAGGAAACGGTTATAAAAATTCACCATTCCCAAAACATCCTTGACGGAGGCCAGGCAGGGGAAATCTGTCACAGTCTGCACTTTGGAGCAACGGAACCGCACCGAGCGCTGAAAATCTGATTTCAGGTGTGACCGGTGCGCATCAGTCGACGGGCTGGTGACCAGGATGTCGTCGCGATAAGTAGTCGAGATCTCGCAACACCGAGTCCATCTGCCTCTGAAATGTCTGCGCCGCGCCTTTAAGGCCGAAAGGCATGCGTAAAAACTCAAAAAGCCCAGAAGGAGTGATCACTGCGGTTTTAGGCACGTCCTCCGCACGCACAGGTGATATCCACGCACCAGGTCTACCTTGGAAAAAACTGACATTTCCGCAAGGCGAGCGGAAAAGTCCTGGATGTGTGGGATGGGGTAGCGGTCGTGTGCGGTGTTGTTGTTTAACCGCCAAAAACCGCCACACGCCCGCCACAACCACCACGACCCATCCACCTTAGGCATATGCAAGGGTGAAGCCCATGGGCTGTTGGAACGATGCACTATGCCCAAGCGCTCTATGTTAACTCCTCCTTAGCAATAGCCGACTTCACCGCGTCGCTCCGGCGAACCGTCTGTGGGAATTAAATGCTCCACCCCGTGCTTCGTGACCGCGGTCGACAAAACGGGAGTAGTTAGCGAGGGAAACTGCGACAGTAAACGCTGAAACACATTTCCCGATGTGGAGAAACTAGCGTGTGTCAATGGCCCAGGCCCCCCGTCTGACAAGCGAATGTAGCAAAAGACACAACATCAATAAGACGGCGATTAGCAACATCAACTAGCAACCCGTTAGCACACAGAAATTCTGCACCTAATATGGGAGCAGTAATAGCAGCAATCACAAAGTCCCACTGAAACTGGCGTCCGCTGAAACAAACAGTCATAGACCTGGTACCAAATGTCCCCTCAGCCACAGACTGAGTGCTGCTGGACGAAAAGGTCCAAGTCTGTCGGGGGAAGGAGGCTCTTCTGCGAACCAGAGTCCACCAGGAAACGACGGCCAGACAGGCTGTCCTTGATAAACAGCAGCTCCTCTTGTTCGCCGGCACCCTCCGCTGCTACTGCGTGCCGGCGTTGGCATTTCCCGACGCTGCGAATGTACGGAGGAGTGCAGCGCCTTGTTTCCGAAACGCCGGTGGAAGAAACACAGCTTACTGCTGCGCTGTCCTCGGGTGGAAACTCCAGCGACGACCACCGTCCCCGCATCCTCCTTCCGGATTCCGCCAGCTGTGGGGACTCTGATTCCACGCTCTGCACGGAGAAACGTCTGGTAGCCAGCAAGACCCGATCGTCCTCTTCCACCAAACCACGATGATTGCCGGCGAGGAGGCACGGGGAGTTGGCCAAAGCAGCGCGCACCGTAGGCGGGAGCAGTCGCAGGAACAGGTGCGGGGCCAGAAAATCGCCGTC